CATACAATGGGGTGAGGGTAGTTTGAAGTCGGAAGTCAACTGCCAGTTAATAGACATTTTTGCCGTATGAGTATACGTTGTCCAGGTTGCACCACGTGAAGGTAAGTCTATCGCGCATCCCAATTAAATATATATATTTAAGTGAAAGTACCAAAACATAGAATATTTACCAGTATTCACCTCATCATAACCTTTAAGTTAAGCTTTCAACGGTTGTGCAACAAGCAGACGAAGGACTAATGACAATTTCCCGGGTATTTAAACTTGGCTGGTACATACATAATTCCATTGAATTCCGACATTTTCAGCTCTAACCAGTCTAATTTATAAATGTCTAAACTATCACCTTTATTCCAAATAGGAGGCCTGTTCTAAGTTTTGCAACGATCTGTGAATACTTCCTTCAAATGCAAATGAAGCCATTTGATTTTAAAATCTATTTTAGCACATTTGAAATACACAGAACGATTACTTATCGTTTGGAAACCATGAAACTTACGATGAGTAGCATATAAATAATATTGGTCTATATTTTTCCTCTCAAGGGAACGGAATACTTATTCTCAAGCTTTGAGTTTCCTTAACAGCAGATTTACTGATTAGCCTCTGGTCAATGGTGAAAATTGGGAAATGGACTTAAAGCTATGACTACTAAAAATGCAGATAAACTTTCATTTTTTATCTGAAGTCATGTTAAACGAAGCGTGCTAATTCTATTACACTCCCTTTCTTAATTTAATTTAATGGCCTGAGTCCAGAATTCTAATTTTCGAGAAGTATTCAATGGGAGATTTTTGCACAAACCCGTAATCACAATACTAAACTGCACTAAATAACTCTTGAAAAAAAATATTGTTTTTTGCTACTAAGTGGACTAATTGATACAGTAACCAACTTATTAAAAAAAAATACACCAGGGTAAAAGAAATTCTTTTCTTTTTATTTTAAAAAGTAATTGGTTTCTTCTGCTCACTCTCACTTCTTTATTTATTATTTTTTTTCGTTAATTGTTTACAATAAAGATACCTTTTTTCCTTTGACCATAAAGAAAGAAAAACAAATTTTTAAATGAAAAATTAGTCAAGGAAAACCTTTTGTGAATAATTATACTAGTTTTGTTCTACTTACTTTGATTAGAATAGATGGAGATATTGAGGATGCACAAAGAGTGAGCGTTTAAAATTTTTTTTAAGCGGAAAATGAACCGACCTAATTTTGCACTATATTTTACTATATTCTAATGGAGAGTATTGACTGTTTTATTGTTTTAGAGTTGGAATAACTTCCTCCGATTTCTAAGCATACATGTGTACTGCGCATTATTTTTCTCAACAAATGCGTTTATTTCGGTGATTAAAGATAAGTCGTTTTACATTGGAAATTAAGCCTCCATGTAAGGAATGAATAGTTCAGGACCTCGTTTGGCAAGAGAACGGGGATAGTGGAAGTAGGGGAGTATTAAAGTTCCCCGCCTCTTTCTCTCGCTTGTCTCACCTCCGTCGAAAAAGTCCTCCTCCCCCTCGTGAAGTCTCCTTGGAAGCAGTGCAATTCGGGCACCCACCTGGGAGTGTTCGAAGATACCGGAGAGAAAGAGGAGCGCGAAAAGGATCAGAAGACAATGCGCAGACATGGACATATCTGATCATAAAATCTACAACAGGAGAGCAATATTTTTACAATCTTGACCTTAAAAAACAACTTTGACACCTTGAAAAATTAATAACTCCGCATTATAGTGCTAGGAATAGATCTGGAAATGATCTTTTTAGTTAAGGGCACATGATAAAAAATTATTCAACTACTTTTATTATCCCGCTTAATTTTATAAATGAAAGAATCGAGTGGATTTAACAGTTGTATCCCCACCTTCATTAATTAGAAAAAATGCATTCTATGTTAGGAGCATTAGTGAAAGCGTCAAAACTTCTAAGAATAGATTTTTAATAAAAAATTTTAAAAAAATAATATATTTAATGAATAACAACCTAAAAAAAGCTTAAATTTTGCTGATGAAATTGTATATTTTAAAATTCTCGAATCACAATTCTTGGCAAATAATCATTAGTAACTCACTTTTTCTTCCATACTGGATGTAAGTCTATTTAACAAATAAATTTGAAGACATTCATTCAATTAATAATAATAATAAAATGAATGAAATAAAAAATGCATACACGTTCATAAACGTATTGAAATGTTATTCATTTGTAGGGATACGGCGAAATGAAAAGAAATGTATTTTACTAAATGGAAAACACTATTCATATTTCGAACTCATTTTTGAAATGAAAGATATTTTAAAATTTAAATTTTTAACATTTTTTTGACTCACACGTTCGCTAAAAACTATTTGAGTTGGTTCAACTGGCGCATATATATATTATGTCTGCCGTGTTTTGATTGGTCCAAATAAATGATCCTATTAATGAATAATTAGGCAAAGTTTGTTCTAATTAATAGTTGCTTATATAGTTGATTCATTTGGCAGCGTCAATAAACAGGGCCAAGCTTTAATTATAAAATAGAAATTGATCACACAAAACTGCATGTTTGTCCAGTAATGCCTAAAACGGGTAGTCATCGAAATGAGAGTAAAAACTAGTACGAATTATGTGATCATTTCGGTTTCTTTCAATTGAATCATTCAATCATGTCAAAGCTGATTTAAACATGGTTTGGTTCCAAGCTGTATGCATTACTTTCTAGCAGGCGATATTCAAGTAACCTTGACATGTTTTGTTTAATTACTTGGTTGGGCGTGCCATTTTGGCTCATTTAAAGCCCTTGACATCAGCAGAAAAGGCTGATAAGCTTGACGAAAGTATGACAACCTAGAAAGGTCTTATTAAAGTTTACGTAGTTGGATTATTTTTATAATAGTGGATGTGAAATGTATCAGCTGATCCCTATATCACATTTTAGCCCCAATTAGTAGATAAAATTTCTTTTTATTGAGATGAAGCCTGTCTTCTACAGTGTCTTTCACCTTCTTATCTTTAGACGGATAGAAAGGGATTTGGAATTGAAAGTTTTATATCAAGGAGAAAGTTTCGACGCAACAAATTTTACAAGAAACGAAGACCCAATTTTAATTAACTTTCATTGCTGCATTGGCCAAAGAGATTCATTTATTTCTTTCAAATGACAGGCGTTCTGATAGATATCATTAGCCCCGTAGCTGACTTCGGGATTCACAGAGGGGAAGAACATCAAAGCCAGAAAAAGTGAAGAGAGGGAATAGAAAAGTGTTTCACAGATGTAAGAGAGATAGACTGACACTAAGAAAGAGAATGAGGTAAGGCTAGTACCGTAGAAATAGTCGAACATGACATACAGTGGGTTCATGGCAGTTAGAAGTCAGAAGTCGACTGCCAGTTAATAGACTTTTTTGCCATATGAGTATACGTTGCTCAGGGTGCACCATATGG